AATTATAAGTTAAATAATCTGTCTGTAAACAATTGTTGGAAAAATTACTTGTGTCATGCACAATGTAGATGTCCTAACCGACTTGGCAAAACTATAGTTTGTTAACAAGAAATGTGTGGAGTGGTTGAAAAACGAATTTTAATGACTCCAACCTAAGTGCATGTAAACTTCCGACTTCAACTGTAACAATAGCAGGCCACAGGAGAGATCTTTGGAGATCCAGTTGCCAGTTTTGATTCAATTGGTCTAACATTGGGCTACATTATCTAAATTAAATAAGAGGTTGATTTAGAACACAAACTTACGTCTTGTTCTTCATTTGCACAGTTACACATATTAATGAGAATTTCAATACAAAATATGCTAATGTCCTTTCATCTACAGTATATGTATCATTACACAGAAAACACACAAATAAACAAAATGATTGTGCCAACAAATAAAAGGCTGTGCCTTATTGCAGGCTACAATCCCAGCATCAATGTAGCTGGTAATTTGCTAAGAACAGCGACAATGCCTGGATGGTGTTCTCAAGAAAACATTGGCAATTTTAAGAAATATTTGGCAGGGGGTTTGGCAAAAGATAACAAAAAAGTGACTATACATTTTTGTCAATTATGTAGCGCACATACTTCATTGACAATCATTTCCTGTGAACTAGTAAGAAACAATTCAACTACCCACCACTACCTATTTAACCTCTCATTACTCATTGACATCAATACTTTGGGCTCAAATCAGTCGAATCCAGATTACTTAGGCCTAATGCAGTAGTATATTAACATACATGTTTCTTTGTGGTTGAATATTAATTAATGCAGGTCTACAGGGTAGACTCAGCCCACAGGTATGCGAGCACAATAGAATAAGACACGTACATTGCCCTTTGGATAGTTGATGCCATTATTAATATTACAAATGAAAGCAATGCATCTCTAGCTTACCAAAGAAAGGGCATAAACATGCTGTAAACTGTATTCAGAAAGAAATTACTTTGAAACTACTTTGAAATATTAGGTTGCTATGTAATCTTTATACACGTGTTACCTTTTCTGTCAACATTCTCAGATTATTGCACAGAATTGCATCAGTGCTCAAAACCTTCAAGTGCCATAAATGTTACAGGTACACCTAAACCATTTACATTACTTAATGCTTTCCTCAAATATATATTTTTATTTTCTTAACACTAGTACACTACACAATCATACACACTACGATCTAGTCATCCTCAGACCACTGAAATTATATTCACAGCACATAGTACACTTGAAATATGACAATTAACTCTCAAGCTTTGCATAACCTCTTGTAATAAAAAAGGGTTTTATTCTAGGCTAAATACTTAGTGTGTGCTTTTCACTATATGGATATATTTTGATTCAACATAATCTTCAACTGTTATTATGATGCGTCTCCTTGTTAACGGCAAAATTATTTGCTTAAAATGTAACCTACTGTATTGCGTCTGTAACCTTGCCAAAGAACACATTGTAACCAAATGGTCAATCCTTGTTGGATTTTGAAACACACAGATCTGTCATATCTACACTACCAGTCAAAAGTTTGGACACACATTTTAGTCATTTAGCAGACACTCTTATCCAGAGCGACTTACAGTTAGTGAGTGCATAATTTGTTTTCTTCCATACTGGCCCCCCATGGGAATCAAACCCACAACCCTGGCATTGCAAGAACCATGCTCTACCAACTGAGCTACATGGGAGATCAAGGGTTTTCCTTCATTTGTAATATTTTTTACATTGTAGAATAATAGTGAAGACATCAAAACTATGAAATAACACATTTGGAATCATGTAGTAAAGAAAAAAGTGTTAAACAAATCAAAATATATTTTATATTTGAGATTCTTCAAATAGCCACCCTTTGCCTTGATCGGAGAGGTTGAGGGTAGAGGAAGTTCAGGAGTAAAAACAAACAAAATATAATTATTGTAAAATTGACTGTGTCCATAAAATGTATGTAGTATGTATAAGCTGGAAGTAGAGGCCTAAGCATTGTTGTTCACTAGTTTGCTCCAATTAGGGAAGGGGTGGTGGGGTTGGAAAGTAATAAAGGAAATGTATGTGTATATATGTATGTATATATGTATGTATGTGTATATATATGTCCCCTGTAGCTCAGTTGGTAGAGCATGGCACTTGCAACGCCAGGGTTGTGGGTTTGTTTCCCACGGGGGGCCAGTATGAAAATGTATGCACTCACTAACTGTAAGTTGCTCTGGATAAGAGTGTCTGCTAAATGACAAAAAATATATACACTGCTCAAAAAAATAAAGGGAACACTAAAATAACACATCCTAGATCTGAATGAATGAAATAATCTTATTAAATACTTTTTTCTTTACATAGTTGAATGTGCTGACAACAAAATCACACAAAAATTATCAATGGAAATCAAATGTATCAACCCATGGAGGTCTGGATTTGGAGTCACCCTCAAAATTAAAGTGGAAAACCACACTACAGGCTGATCCAACTTTGATGTAATGTCCTTAAAACAAGTCAAAATGAGGCTCAGTAGTGTGTGTGGCCTCCACGTGCCTGTATGACCTCCCTACAACGCCTGGGCATGCTCCTGTTGAGGTGGTGGATGGTCTCCTGAGGGATCTCCTCCCAGACCTGGACTAAAGCATCCGCCAACTCCTGGACAGTCTGTGGTGCAACGTGGCGTTGGTGGATGGAGCGAGACATGATGTCCCAGATGTGCTCAATTGGATTCAGGTCTGGGGAATGGGCGGGCCAGTCCATACAATCAATGCCTTCCTCTTGCAGGAACTGCTGACACACTCCAGCCACATAAGGTCTAGCATTGTCTTGCATTAGGAGGAACCCAGGGCCAACCGCACCAGCATATGGTCTCACAAGGGGTCTGAGGATCTCATCTCGGTACCTAATGGCAGTCAGGCTACCTCTGGCGAGCACATGGAGGGCTGTGCGGCCCCCCAAAAAAATGCCACCCCACACCATGACTGACCCACCGCCAAACCGGTCATGCTGGAGGATGTTGCAGGCAGCAGAACGTTCTCCACGGCGTCTCCAGACTCTGTCACGTCTGTCACATGTGCTCAGTGTGAACCTGCTTTCATCTGTGAAGAGCACAGGGCGCCAGTGGCAAATTTGCCAATCTTGGTGTTCTCTGGCAAATGCCAAACGTCCTGCACGGTGTTGGGCTGTAAGCACAACCCCCACCTGTGGACGTCGGGCCCTCATACCACCCTCATGGAGTCTGTTTCTGACCGTTTGAGCAGACACATGCACATTTGTGGCCTGCTGGAGGTCATTTTGCAGGGCTCTGGCAGTGCTCCTCCTGCTCCTCCTTGCACAAAGGCGGAGGTAGCAGTCCTGCTGCTGGGTTGTTGCCCTCCTACGGCCTCCTCCACATCTCCTGACGTACTGGCCTGTCTCCTGGTAGCGCCTCCATGCTCTGGACACTACGCTGACAGACACAGCAAACATTCTTGCCACAGCTCGCATTGATGTGCCATCCTGGATGAGCTGCACTACCTGAGCCACTTGTGTGGGTTGTAGACTCCGTCTCATGCTACCACTAGAGTGAAAGCACCGCCAGCATTCAAAAGTGACCAAAACATCAGCCAGGAAGCATAGGAACTGAGAAGTGGTCTGTGGTCACCACATGCAAAACCAGTCCTTTATTGGGGGTGTCTTGCTAATTGCCTATAATTTCCACCTGTTGTCTATTCCATTTGCACAACAGCATGTGAAATGTATTGTCAATCAGTGTTGCTTCCTAAATGGACAGTTTGATTTCACAGAAGTGTGATTGACTTGGAGTTACATTGTGTTGTTTAAGTGTTCCCTTTATTTTTTTGAGCAGTGTATATATTTGCAAGAAAAAAAAGAACATTGGAAGTGATGCAGACAATTACATTGATGGAAGTTACAATCTATCTGCAATATTAAAGCTGATCTACCCCCTAAAAAATAAATAAAAAATAATGATAAGCCCAAAACAGATGGGATTGTATATTGCTGCAGAATGCTTTGGTAGCCATGCTGGTTAAGTGTGCCTTGAATTCTAAATAAATCACAGACAGTGTCACCAGCAAAGCACCATCACACCTCCTCCTCTATGCTTTACGGTGGGAAATATACATGCAGAGATCATCTGTTCACCCACACCGGGTCTCACAAAGACACGGCGGTTGATCAAAAAATCTTCAATTTGGACTCCAGACCAAAGGACAAATGTCCATTGCTTGTGTTTCTTGGCCCAAGCAGGTCTCTTTTTCTTATTGGTGTCCTTTAGTAGTGGTTTCTTTGCAGTAATTCGACCATGAAGGCCTGATTCACGCAGTCCCCTCTGAAACAGTTGATGTTGAGATGTGTCTGTTACTTGAACTCTGTGAAGCATTTATTTGGGCTGCAATCTTAAGTGCAGTTAACTCTAATGAACTTATCCTCTGCAGCAGAGGTAACTCTGGGTCTTCCTTTCCTGTGGCGGTCCGCATGAGAGCCAGTTTCATCATAGCGCTTGATGGTTTTTGCGACTGCATTTGAAGAAACTTGAAAAGTTCTTGAAATGTTCCGTATTGACTGACCTTAATGTCTTAAAGTAATGATGGACTGTCGTTTCTCTTTGCTTATTTGAGCTGTTCTTGCCATAATATGGACTTGGTCTTTTACCAAATATGGCTATCTTCTGTATAACCCCCCTACCTTGTCACAACACAACTGATTGGCTCAAACGCATTAAGAAGGAAAGATACTCCACAAATTAACTTTTAAGAAGGCACACCTGTTAATTGAAATGCATTCATGAAGCTGGTTGAGAGAATGCCAAGAGTGTGCAAAGCTGTCATCAAGGCAAAGAGTGGCTATTTGAAGAATCTCAAATCTCAAATATATTTTTTTGATTTGTTTACACTGTTTTGGTTACTACATGATTCCATATGTGTTGTTTCATAGTTTTGATGTCTTAACTATTATTCTACAATGTAGAAAATAGTCAAATTAAAGAAAAACCCTTGAATGAGTAGGTGTCCAAACTTTTGACTGGTACTATATAAACAGTAGCTTTATATCTGTATAGCTTTACTTTTTCAAACTCTTCAGAGACCAGCTGAGATCTGTGTTGACCAATTTCATGATTACGGTTATGCTATGTACAACATTTTACATTCAGATTTAAGATCAATATCATACACAAACTTCCTCAACATTCAGAATCATCTCAAAGGTACTTTGCAATCTCTCTTTTCTCCCTTCAGTTAAACTATTTTCCCCTCCAAACACTTTGTGCAAATTAATTTCTAACTTGCGAGCGCTTTTTCTTGACTAGTCTTTCATCTCAAAGAAATCAGTTAGCAACCAAACATCTGGGAGCAATTTGTTTTTGTGTGTACTTAACTTTAACGCCTAAACCAACTGCAAACTCAACATAGCAGTTCATGTACATTAGTTCCCAATGTGTCCAATACTGACGTACTGTTGCCCCAAACACCCACTGACCTGAATTCATCCCAATACATATTTCCATAAACAGGTTCAATCTTACACCTTTCTCTGTGTTCGTGTGTGAATGTGTCCATGTACATTATCTCAATAAAGATAATTCCAAAGTTAAAAATAAAAGCAGCTAATTTCAATGACGTGATAGTGGGTCACTAACCTACCAACATCTGACACCCCAGAAACACAATCTTTATAGATTACCAGGTCAGTCACAGAACTCTTTCCACTCCTCTGTAGACTGGTCAGTATCCATATCCAATACAAGTATCTCTTTGATTTTTATACGGATTGATAATGTAAATTGTCTGTCGTCGATGTTGATTCGTCACAGACCATCTCTCTTGCAAGACACTGCAAGCTTTCTTCCTACCCGGCTTCACTTCCTGTTTTGGTGACTTGTCGTTGTGTTGCGGCAACATGCTGGAGATCTACTTCCTGTCGTATTCGTCCTCCTTGCCCTCTTCCACTGCCTCCACAGCGAATTTCCCTACCTCCCCTATCCTGATGACGGCCGGCTCCTCCACGGGACCCTCCCTCTTGGTTTCCACCTCCGTTACCACCTCTGTGTAGGTTACTACCGGGGTTTTACTGACTTCCGGGCTTTTCCTTCCCTTGACTGGGGTCACCGCCTCATCGACCTCCCCATCAGCCTCAGCTCCCTCCTGGCCCTCGGCCACGGTCCTCTCCTTCTTCAGCTTGATGCGGAAGGACTCCTTGGTGGGGGCTTTCTTCGCAATGTTCTCCTTCAGCCTCTCGCCAGAGTGCTTGATACGCTCGCCGGCCTGGTGCATCTTCTCCCGTCTTTCGGGGGGCACCATTTTCTCGCCCATGTTGTGGAACTTGGTGCCCAAGTTGTCCTTGGTCTTAGTCATGGTCTCCTTGGAGAAGGCGTGCTTAATGCTTTCAATGCCCTTCATGCCTGACGCCTTCAGGCGGGCGGTTTTGGAGCCTCCTTCAGTCTCGTCCACCGTCATGTATTCCTCGTCTGAGGAGATGTCCTCGGGGACATTGTAGGTGTCTGGCTCGATCACCAACCCCTCCATACCAACCGCTCCTTTTGGGGTCTTTGTCACGGCCACCGAAGGGATCTCATGTTCCCCCTAGAGAAAGGCAAATGAAGTGTTTTAAAGTACAATAATATGGGTTGGCTTCTTAAGTTATATAGCCAATGGTTGAGTGCAGACCTGGGTTCAAATAGTATTTGTATTTTTTCTTACTTGATTAAGTTTGCCTGGTGCAATGGAATAGTCCCAAAATTGCCAACCATCTGGCGTTCCAGAAACGCTCAATCAAATGCTCAAAGTCTTTGAAAGGAAAAACATACATTTTGAAACCGGGTCTGCTTGACTGTGCACTTTTTGGGCAATTATGGAGAAATTACACAAGCTTTCTCTTCTCTCCCTATCAGTTGTAGAGGGGATGTTTGGCTTTGTAACGGTTGCTATGTCTTTGAGTTTGCCCTTTGAGGTTGCAACAGTATATGTCCCGCTGGGCTTTATATTACATGCCAGTAACCACTCAATACCATGGACCAATTTTTCTACAGGGATCACAGAGGTTGGTGGAAAGATCCGTTTCTCAAAGATATGCTAAACTGTATCATTGCAGTTCGCAACATATGGACATCTATGAGTGGGTGTTCTCAGCAAATAACTCAGACAACATAGCCCACAACATGAGAAGCGTATGAGAAACATGATAAATTATAAACCCAAGAATAGCATTGAAAGATGTGCCATTAACAAGCACTTCTAGTGTTACAACTGAACACTTAGCTTGCATTTCTAGCACTATGTGATACTAGGCCTAATTGCTGAATCTCCCTCTCTATTATGAATTCCTAAAAAGCGGTAGTGCCCCCCCTTCTGATGACTGGGCAACCTGCTGGGTTCTGCAGGTGACTTTTGAATCTGAGACCCAATTAATTATAATAAAGATTCAGCCACCTGCAACAATCACTCTCATTAATCAAGAGGGTAAGTCGTCTGAACATGCCCAGACTCTGTGAATGACACAACAATTACACCACAAGGGAATGTGGGCCAGCATATTTATTTATTTTCATACCTGATGTTGCCAGGCAATTAATAATAGATTATTGGCCGACCGACATGACAACCACCCATAAGATGACCGTCATTGGTCACAACCACATTGTGCTTCCGTCAACTGATGGTGTGCGTTCGATGGTGCTTTATTCATGTTGAACTCTGACCTTATTGGTGCCTCTGTTGTCATGGTTACATAACAGTACATGGACGGCTCAGGCTCGTGGTACAGAGTAGGAGTCTGCACAATAAGTTCTAAATTCTCTCTGTCAACCCTACAGTAGCTGGCCAATCAGTGTCTGTATAAGATATATGATGTCCATGTGATTGGCATAAAGCCAGTCATGCGTTAAAAAGTCCTATAATGTATAACCCCCCCAAAAAGGGATAACGTCAGCTTGACTGCTACAACAAAGAACTTGCTGCTATACAGAATATACATTACTTTGACAAAAATGTTGTTACCTTGTGTTGGTTAATTCTAGCTTCGAATGAAAGTTTGGCTTTATATGCCCAAAATCTATCCTCAAAACAATGCCACCCCCACAGAAACTACAGCCATTTATCTGTGTCTTATTACTGGCCCATGCTGAGCTGTTGTGTCCCATTTTTCAGTCTTGCCATGCTTTGCCACTGGCAATGACTGTCTCTATAACAAACAGTGCTTGCTTCCTAACTAAAGTTAAATGGCCATCGCTGCGTCAGAGGCAAAAGCACTATATTAGGATATCCATGCCCTGCTAGCCAGGCCCTCAGAATAACCGGCAGCAAATCAGTCATCTGGAAATCCTACACTCAGACTGTCCTATTCAGGCAAGAGGGAGATTAAGCCCCTCCTAGGGATCATCATAGAGGAAATATGAGATTCACTATACACTTAATGTAAAGTGTAGTATAACAATCATATTCAGAAGCCATCTTTTAATGTTGACTACAGAGACTGACACAATAACCCTCAAATATTTATATGAAAAGCTAGCCCCTAGGCCTTAAAAGTTCAGTCATATATAATGATTTGCCATTACCCATAAGAGTCTAAGTTTGTTCTGAAGTGTCTGTCCTATATCTGGGAGATAGAAGAAAGATCAGGGGGAAAAAGGTGTTATTTGTTTAGTACATGTATTTAACACCTTATTTTTGGCACTAAACAGTCTCCATATACCAGTACCAGTCAAACGTTTGGACACACCTACTCATTCCAGGTTTGTTCTTTATTTTTACTATTTTCTACATTGTAGAATAATAGTGCAGACATCAGAACTATTAAATAACACATATGGAATCATGTAGTAACCAAAAAAATGTTAAACAAATCAAAATATATTTTATGTTTGAGATTCTTCAAAGTAGCCACCCTTTGCCTTGATGACAGCTTTGCACACTCTTGGCATTCTCTCAACCAGCTTCACGAGGTAGTCACCTGGAATATATTTCAATTAACAGGTGTGCCATGTTAAAAGTTAATTTCTGGAATTTCTTTCCTTCTTAATGCTTTTGAGCCAATCAGTTGTGTTGTGACAAGGTAGGGGGGGGGGGGGGGGGGGTATACAGAAGATAGACCTATTTGGTAAAAGAACAAGTCCATATTATGGAAAGAACAGCTCAAATAAGCAAAGAGAAACGACATGAAGGTCAGTCAATACGGAACATTTCAAGTTTCTTCAAGTGCAGTCGCAGAAACCATCACAAGCTATGATGAAACTGGCTCTCATGAGGACCGCCACAGGAAAGGAAGACCCAGAGTTACCTCTGCTGCAGAGGATAAGTTCATTAGAGTTACCAGCCTCAGAAATTGCAGCACAAACAAATGCTTCACAGAGTTCAAGTAACAGACACATCTCAACATCAACTGTTCAGAGGAGACTGCGTGAATCATGCCTTCATGGTCAATTTGCTGCAAAGAAACCACAACTAAAGGACACCAATAAGAAGAAGAGACTTGCTTGGGCCAAGAAACACGAGCAATGGACATTAGACCGGTGGAAATTTGTCCTTTGGTCTGGAGTCCAAATGTGAGATTTTTGGTTCCAACCGCCATGTCTTTGTGAGACGCAGAGTAGGTGAACGGTGATCTCCGCATGTGTGGTTCCCACCGTGAAGCATGGAGGAGGAGGTGTGATGGTGTGGGGGTGCTTTGCTGGTGACACTGTCTGTGATTTATTTAGAATTCAAGGCACACTTAACCAGCATGGCTACCACAGCATTCTGCAGCAATACACCATCCCATCTGGTTTGCGTTTAGTGGGACTATCATTTGTTTTTCAACAGGACAATGACCCAAAACACACCTCCAGGCTGTGTAAGGGCTATTTCACCAAGAAGGAGAGTGATGGAGTGCTGCATCAGATGACCTGACCTCCACAATCACCCGACCTCAACCCAATTAAGATGGTTTGGGAGTGAAGGAAAAGCAGCCAACAAGTGCTCAGCATATGTGGGAACTCCTTCAACATTCCTCATGAAGCTGGTTGAGAGAAGGCCAAGAGTGTGCAAAGCTGTCATCAAGGTGACTACTTTGAAGAACCTCAAATATAAAATATATTTTGATTTGTTTAACACTGTTTTGGTTACTACATAATTCCACGTGTTATTTCATAGTTCTGATGTCTTCACTATTATTCTACAATGTAGAAAATAGTAAAAATAAAGAAAAAACCTGGAATGAGTAGGTGTGTCCAAACTTTTGACTGGTACTGTACTTCCATTCATTGAGATGTAAAAAGATATCTCTAGCTTAAACTGACTGATTTTTCTGGGGATTTTTTTATTATGCAAATTCAATTTCAGCGGGGGAGCGGACATCGAGCGTAGTTTTTTTTTTAAGCTATGGTGTTTCAAATGCCATGACTTATCTGAGAGCTAATGGCCCCATTAAAAATGTCATTAAAAATCGTCTTTCCAACATTGATCGCTACACAAGAAATCACTACCGTCTTCATTATTTTACAATAAATACATGTGACACCCACTGACTGCTGATATCGCTTTCTCGTTAGCCTAGTAAGAGGTTGCCCCAAAGCGGGGTCACCGTGATTGGCAGACCTTCATTCTTCAGATTGGCCCTAGCAGTCTGCTGCCAAATAAGAAGTCAGTTTATCGTGTCCCCATTGGCAGCGGGGAGTATGCCATGCTCCCAGAATAGGACTCTCTGTCACGGCCACACAGCAGCTGCTTCTTTCAGGGGAAAGCACACAGAGCTCTCATTGCACCCGGAAGTCCCTTTAACGGGAGCTGTTTCTCCTATTAAAACAGAAGGCTTGAAGTCTCTTTTAGGCTACCTAGTATCTATTTTCATCTAAGACATAAACTGTAACTGTTTTTTTCATGACTTCTGTGAAGTCTTTTTCACCTTAGACCAAAGATAATTGTTTCTGTAAAATAAATTTACATCATTTAGCAGAAGCTCTTATCCAGAGCGACTTACAGGAGCAATTAGGGTTTAGCGCCTTGCTCAAGGGCACATCGACAGGTTTTTCATTTAGTTGTCTCAGGATTCGAGCCAACGACCTTTCGGTTTATGGCCCTACGCTCTTAACTGCTAACTAATTTTTTGAAGTGGCCGTCATGGCCCTGTGGCCTTTGTATCATTGGCCTCTTTATTTGTAGCTCTGCCCTGCCTCCTTTTGGAGCTTTTCAGTTACAGTTTCCTTATGTAACCTATTGGTGCATTCTACATCTGATTGTGAATGTTATCAGTTACTATTATTGCAGCTTATTATATTACTTAATTACCTGATAAATGATGACGCGGAACTTGTTACGGGTCAGCAGCTCCTCCTGTGTGGTCTCCACCTTCTTGACGCGCACGTTCTGCTTCTCTACGCGCATGCGCACCTCCTTGACATTGGAGCTGACCTTACGCGTCTTCTGGAGCAGCTTCTCCACGGTGCCACTGGTGGTGGTGTGGTCTTTGGCAAGCTTCAGGACATCACCCTGGATGGTGTTGATGTTGGTCTCCAGCTCCAGCTGCCGCTCCTCCATGCGCTGCTGGCCAGCCTGAACGTTGTCGATGATGCCTGCCACACGCTCCAGCAGCGACAGGATGGTCAGGGCACTGATGGGATTGCCTGCATCGTCCTCCACCCCCAGCACCTCCAGCTTGTCCTGCACGCCCGCCATGCGGTACTTCGACTGATCCATGGAAGCGTTTCTCGAAAGACGGAAGGGAAACTTGGATGTTGGGTGAAGAAGCCGAGTGAACAACGCTGAAGTGCTGAAACTTTGACGCAAGTACAGAGAACTTGAGGATATCTGGTTAGACTTGGGTTGATTTGGATTGCTCCAAGACCATTGAGGTACCACCAGCAAAGAGACCAGCAAGAGGTGACTCCCTACCACAGTGACCCAACTCAGGTCTGGTGCAAAAAAGGAAGCAGACTTCTCCTACCCTTTTAGAATAGGCTGCAGGATCAAGAGGGGACCTGCAAAACAAGCGCTCAGAGGGCAGGAAATAGACTGAAAGGGGTGTGGCGTAGCCAGCATGCACCACATAGATATAAATACTTTTTTGGTAAGGTGACACTGACATTTTGGGAAGATGCAAAGCAGGGGCATGGATGGAAATCCCCCTCTAGCCCACTCTGTTACTCCCCGATTAATTTATAATTTATAATAAAGTGGTGGTCATTATCTAGGCATCGCTTGACGATGCAGCTGTATGTCATGTATGTCAACGTCAACTTCTGACTCATTTGTAGCGACAGATGGAAAGAGAACACTTTGGTCATGGGCCTTGATTACCCATCCCAGGAATGTTGAGAGGATTAAACATTGTAGCGCTGCCCTTTTTGAGTTCCCCAGGGAAGCAAAGTCCACATATTGAGTGGCAGTGACATCAGGAGCCATTTACATTGTCTACCAGCAACATTGTATTGCAGTGAGTGTCAAAGTGGCGCCATATCGGAATTGTGAGCATTGAGCAGCTGTTGAAGTGAAGTACTTGTGTGTTGCTTACTGTTCCCCTATTGATTTGTTAATGTGCTTAAATCCATATTGCGTTTTGTTGCAAATCACTTATTTAATCTATATTATTAGTTTTCAATATTACAATGAACACAAATCACAATATACAACCTTATCCTATACATGGCAAATGACATAGCAAATGGGACAACTTGTCATGCCCTGGCTCTGGGACTCTGTTATGTTGAGCCAGGGTGGGTTGTTTCTATGTGTTTTATGTGCTAGGGTGTTTATCTAGTTCATTTGTTTCTATGTTGGCCGGTGTGGTTCTCAATCAGAGGCAACGTGAATCAGCTGTTGCTTGTTGTCTCTGATTGGGAACCATACTTAGGTAGCCTGTTTTGCCACAGTGTTTGTGGGATCTTGTTCCGTGTTTGGTTAGTGTCTTTTGCCAAGGACGTCACGTATCGTTTTGTTGTTTTGTTCGTGTGATCATTTAAAATAAAAGTATGTTCGCATTCCATGCTGCGCCTTGGTCCACTTCCTCCAGCGATCGTGACAGAAGATCCCACCATAACTGGACCAAGCAGCGTGTCCAGGAGCCAACGCCAGAGAGGGCTCTAAAGGATATCAACCTCGACTGGGTCAAGCCGCGGGAGGAGGAGAGAGGCTGGACTTGGGAGCAGAGGAGCGAGAGTCTGGCGAGAGCCATGGAGGCCTGGCCTATGGGGAGGAGAGACGCCCAGAAAATGTTTAGGGGGGGGCTCACGCCGTGGACGACGGGGCAGCAGGAGGCCGGGATAGAGTGGTTCAGCGGGTTGGCAAAGGAGGCCACCAGGTTACGGGAGTCACTGGTCACCAGGGGGAAGGAGAATGTAGAGGCACGGCGAGAGGTACTGGGGTGTGTTGCCAGTCCGGTCCGGCCCGTTCCTGATCCACGCGTAGGGCCAGTGGTGTGTGTCCCCAGCACGGTCCGGCTTGTTCCTGTCCCTCGCACCGAGCCTGTGGAGCGCGTCGCCAGCCCGGTCCGGCATGTTCCTGCCCCTCGCACCAAGCCTGTGGTGCGCGTCGCCAGCCCGGTCCGGCCTGTTCCTGCCCCTCGCACCAAGCCAGTGGTGCGCGTCGCCAGCCCGGTCCGGTCCGTTCCTGCTTCCCGCACCAAGCCAGTGGTGCGTGTCGTCAGCCCGTTTTGGTCCGTTCCTGCTTCCCGCACCAAGCCAGTGGTGCGCGTCGTCAGCCCGTTTTGGTCCGTTCCTGCTCCCCGCACCAAGCCTGTGGTGCGCGTCGTCAGCCCGGTCCGGCCTGTTCCTGCTCCCTGCACCAAGCCAGTGGTGCGCTTCGTCAGCCCGTTTCAGCCCGTCCCTGCTCCCCGCACCAACCCAATGGTGCGCATCGTCAGCCCGGTCCGGCCTGTTCCTGCTCCCCGCACCAAGCCTGTGGTGCGCGTCGTCAGTCCGGCACAGCCCGTGCCTGGGTCACCGGTGCCTGGTCAGGTACCGGTTAGCTGCTCCACATCGGATCTGTCCAGATCCAGCCAGATCCAGCCAGCAGGGCCAGACCGGACCAGGGGCGCTATGGGGGGTTTGTTGGAGGGTGGGGGTCAAGCCCGGAGCCGGAACCGCCTCCAAGGAGGAATGCCCACCCGGCCCTCCCCTGTTCGGTTTATGTTTGGCGCGATCGCAGTCCGCGCCTTTGGGCGGGGGTACTGTCACGCCCTGGCTCTGGGACTCTGTTATGTTGAGCCAGGGTGGGTTGTTTCTATGTGTTTTGTGTGCTAGGGTGTTTATCTAGTTCATTTGTTTCTATGTTGGCCGGTGTGGTTCTCAATTAGAGGCAACGTGAATCAGCTGTTGCTTGTTGTCTCTGATTGGGGACAATACTTAGGTAGCCTGTTTTGCCACAGTGTTTGTGGGATCTTGTTCCGTGTTTGGTTAGTGTCTTTTGCCAAGGACGTCACGTATCGTTTTGTTGTTTTGTTTGTGTGATCATTTAAAATAAAATTATTTTTGCATTCCACGCTGCGCCTTGGTCCACTTCCTCCAGCGATCGTGACACAACTTTGTGAATGGGGAATCTTTTAAGCATACAATACCACCAAATTGGAGTTTCTGTATATGACAACATTTCCTCAACTGTCTGTTGCATTGTTCTATAATTTCATCTAAATTCCTGTGGCAGCAAAGCCCTGATAATAATAAACTGTGAGGACAGACTCTGGGAGACAGGAAGCAAGTACAGGGAGTGAACATTTAATGGACAGGGGAAACTAAACAACATCAATGCTGACACCGGGATCAAACAGAGGAACTGACAGATATAGGGGAGGTAATTAACAAAGGGAAGGAGTCCAGGTGAGTCCAATGAGCGCTGATGTGCGTAACGATGGTGACAGGTGTGCGTAATGATGGGTCCCTCGAGCGCCAGGGAGGGGGAGCGGGTGCAGGCGTGACAATAAACAGTATCACTCTTGTCCTGCCTCTGTACCACCTGATCTCCTTACTATTCCATCTCTTCCTATGCTTCATTATGTGTAGTCCCCATTTCCATGGAGGTCCAGTTTCCATTGATTTCTTCTCAGAATAGTAAGAGGTCCGAGAGCCACGGCCTAGCCACCTCGCGAAACCAGTGAGCTGAGACTGCCTTGAGGATCAACCTCCCTCTCCACCTCCCTTTCCCAATCAGGGCCTGGTCCCATTTCTCTCATCCCTTGGGGGGGGGGGGGGGGGGGGGGGTTGAATTGCCTCAACTGAAGCCAGCAGCTGCTTCTGCTCTCAAAACCCCCCACCCCCACCTCAGCTCCTCCACTGTCTATAATTACACAGCAGCATAGTGACTGAGCCAGTGAGCCTACTGCCCCCTCAATCCCCCCTTCCATATTTGACTCCCCCTCCACCACCCTTCTGAAATGTATGCCCACGCATTGGTTTATTTTCAGGAGGAGAGGCTCTGACCTCTGCTCTCATTCTGGGCTTCTGCAGACAAGCAGTTTTTAATTAGATTTGAGTGCCAATTAATGATCCAATCCCCCTCCCACTGTGGTCGGAACTGCGAATGAATGGTGAGGGGGCTTCTGATGACATCGCTGGAGGCCATGTTCATCCTTGTACACTGAACCCGGGTCGTGTTCAGTACGCACGAAATGGAAGGAAACAGTCCCAAACGGAGTGAAACTGGGATGTACTATCTGAACTTTTGTTTACCGTTGCAAAACTTTTAAAAAGTTATTTGTGTCTCTGTGGGGGTGGCACACTATAATGTGTAGCCTGTATCTGTACTGACCAGAACAACAGGAGATCAACCTAAGTATATTGTGTGTTTGTGCGAACAGGGAAGAAGAGTCTCTGGTGGGCAGTCACATGGGTAGAGAGAAGGTCATCTCATTCATCTCTGTCACTGCTACCATTCTACCATACACATGCACAAACACACACACACACACACACACACACACATACACAAACAAACACGCATGCACAAACAAACACGCATGCACAAACTCCAGTGACACAGTAAGCGATACAAAGTAAAAGATCTAAATGCATCATAGCCCCCTTTATATGGCATCAAATCACCCTCTAAAGTCCACTGCGCGCGAAGATGGCGCTGTCGAGCAAGATGTGTGACAATAGCGCAGAGGATGGGTCCCACGAGCAGAGGATGAGTGCCGCTAGCAGCAGAGGATGTGTCCTGCGAGCGCACAAGCAGCAGGGGCTGCGCAAATTAAACCTGAGTTACAAGTGTGACTTTGAGAAAGCAGAACATCACTGCAAAAAATGCAAAATATTAATTTGAGAGCAGAGATTTTTGTTTTGTTATGCAGAGATACTTATTACATGTCAAGACTCAGAAGTTACTGCGCTCTCACAAATACACCGCATCCCCACATAGATTTCTCCTCACATCAAATAATCTTGCTCTCGCAACTGCAATCTATAACTATAATTTTATTACAGGTGACAATTCTAGCCAATGAAGATGGTTGTCACTAGTTAACACAGCCACAAAGTCATAATTATTATGGCTAAACCCTGCCTATTTCTACATGTTATCTTCTTAAAATCTGATTTTGAACCTCACCCTAACCACACTGCTAACCTTATGCCTAACCCTAACCTTAAATCATGTTTTCATTAATTTTTACAAAACAACCAATTTTGACTTTGTGGGTGTGTTATCTAGTGGAAACCAGATTTTGACGGTGGTAGTGAAGTAGGGACGATGAAAAGGGTAAGCTCTATAAGAACCTAACCAACCAACTAATCAACTATGATTTCAATACTGAAATTGAAGCAAGTAGTTATTTGGTCTTCTGTTATTAAAGCTGGCTATTGATTAGGCAAGCTAGTTTAGTGTCAGCTAGTAGCTAGCTAGGAAGCTAACTATGTTTAACCACATATAAAAGTTACCAGTATCTTTGGTTTAACCAAGAGCATTATAGCTAGTTAACGACCTACTGGGCACACTGGTTGAATCAACGTTGTTTCCAAACAATTTCAATGAAATTACATTAAACCAACGTGGAATAGACGTTGAATGGACGCCTGTGCCCAGTGGGGAAGGGTTAGTAGAGAAGGAGATCTTGGAAAACCAGCATGACTGGGAGGGAGTGAAGGAGGAGGGAGAGGCAGAGTGAGAACAGACAGGGAAGGCCCTCACTGGGGAAGAGGCCCTTGATTGAGATTGGATGAGAGGGAGCCAAGAGAGATCAAAC